GTTTAATGCAAGCATTAGACAAGAACCTGAGAACCTGAAATACTAAAAATTGGTAATATTTAAGAAAGGAAGTCCCTGAATAGCTAAATCGGAAAAATGGTAAACGAAATAGAAACCAACCGAATCCGAACAACAAAATCAAGCCAAGCACCTATCGCAATATTTTGGCATTGTTGATGGCGAAAGTAAACAAGTCCGGTTGCTACGACCATAAGGCAACTTTTTATGTAACAAAATTAATTTGGTATAAACGAAAATTAATTTAGTATAGTATAAACAAAAAGGAGAAAGAAAAAAATGACTTCAGATAAGTAAATAAGCAAAGAACGTAAAAGTTGAAAAACTGATAACAAATTTTAAAGTACTTGATCCCGATAAATTTGTTGTTTCAAGCTAAAGTAGTCATAAAAATATGAAAAGGCAATAAAGTTTCCACTTTAATAGATAAAATGGAAAGAAGAAAGAAATAAAAAGAATTCTGATATGAATACCGAAATTATATTCGATTAATAATATCTTAAAATGTTTGTTACTGCTGATTTATTATTAAATGTTTGTTATCATTGGGAAAAGTTTTACACTTCTTTTACTGAATCAGTTTTTTTGTTGGAAAAAAATCAACAAATTTGATCGGTGTTTGAAAATATTAGAACGAAAATAATTAAAGTAGTTAAAACAAAAAAAAAGACAAAAGTAGAGCAAGAGTAGTTAAAAGAACATTAACGAAAATACTTAAAGCTACAGACGAAATCTATGATATTCCAAGTCTCCTGTCACATTTCAATAACACCGAACATTTTAGACACTGACTAACATACAAGTTCTGTAATTTGGATAAATATGGGAAAAAAAAAGAAACTACTAATATTTAAGAAATCACTTACTTCGTCGACATTCCATATCACGCCAAACTACTAATCCTGAATATATAGCAGCTGGATTGATTTTATTTTTGGGCCGATTTTGCTAAAAAAAGAAAGAAGACGGAAAGATAACTGACTTTGTTATCCAACATAAGGAAATACATAAATATATGTCACTTCAAATGAAATAACAAATTAATTACGATAACGATAACAATAATGTGTTAAAGTGATAATGAAGTGGTAAACTTATTGATAATTGGTGAAGAAATATACCAAACAGTGAACTGACAATAACCCTGCATCAGCTGGCATTTCTGATTCATTCCATGGCTGAAAAAAATATTTCAAAAAAAGGAGGAAAATGCTAAATATCGTAAGGTGAATTACGATCTGATCATATATTTAGAGATAAAATGCAAAATTATTGATATTATTTAAAATAGAAAAATATCGCTATGCCGCAATGAACCAATTTCAAACCACTCAAAATATTTCGCATGACACTAACAACAGTTTTTAAAATAATTTCTAAAGAACTGATAAAGTTCGAAGAATCCCCACTTTGTGCTTCACTGCAGTGCAATGCTACAGAATAGATGATGTGTTTCTGTCATACCTACCTTCTTGTACCGATCATTTTAATATGATGATAAGTCATAGGACTGAATTGTGCCAAAGTAACAATTCAACCTAATGGTTGATATTAGAAGGGTTTGGCAATTTTCTTCATATCAAAAACAAGTATAAAAAAATATGATGCAATAAGAGGAGGAAGCTACAATTAGTTTAAAAAAGAAAAAGGATTTTAACTAGCTCATTAATACAAACAAAACTAACCGCATCATAAATAGGAAGTTGATCATAGGCTGGTCGAACGATTTCAGTTACCTTCATCAGAACATCATTATTCAACAGAGACGATTCGTCTAATAATTCGATCCAGATTACGTAAACAATATTTGGCATAACATTTTCATTGTTAAATATCCCATCATTATCCAGAACCCACTGCAAAAGATTCAAATATAAATCCACATCGAATCAGCATCAATTTGGATTATCCAAATGATTAAGTTTGTCCTACAAGCAAATGATTAAGTCTTGTTTGCCCTACAAGCAAATGATTAAGTCTTGTTTGCCCTACAAGCAAATGATTAAGTCTT